TGCGAGTTTATATCTCACAATTCTGAGAAAAAAAGTCAGAATTGTGAGTTTATTAAGTGTACTCATGTACCCACGCAGTTCTGACTTTATTTCTCAGAATTGCGACTTTATGTCTCGCAATTGCGAGTGTATATCACGCAATTCTGACTTTATTTCTCAGAATTGCCAGTTTATATATCTCAATTATGACTTTTTAACTCGCAATTGCGAGTTTATATCACACAATTCTAGAAAAAAAGTCAGAATTGTGAGATAAAAAGTCGCAATTACCTCTTTTATTTTTTTTTTCAGTGGCGGAAACTGGCTTCCATACAGTACTGTGCAAAAGTCTTAGGCCATTAGTATTTTCACCAACAACAAAAAAAATGCTGTTAAGACGGACTAAATCCAGAAGAACTGTGGCAATGTCTCCAAGACACTTCAAGAAACCCTTCCTGCAGTGCTGCCTGAAAAACTGTGCAAGTGTTCCTAGGACAAAAGCTGTTTTAAACGCAAAGGTTGGTCGCGTCAAATGTTGATTTGATTTAGTTAATTGAAGTTAATTGATAAATAAAATCTATTTATGACATTATTTTTGAAAGCATCCTCACTCTACAGCATTTTTACACAGGTGCCTAAAACTTTTCACAGTACTGAAGCTTTGCAGGTAGGTTTCTTCAAGCGTCTTGGAGACGTTGCCACAGTTCGTCTGGATTTAGTCTGTCTCAGTTTTTTTCTGTTTCTTTATGTGATCTCAGACAGACTGGATGATGGTGAGATCAGATCTCTGTGTGAAGCACTGGCTGTCGTCAGACTTTTGTGCATTCAAAAATCTCACTGGATTATTACAATTAATGGCAAAAGGAATGTTTGGAAATGTAAACACACTAAAGCAAAAGATATAGAAATAACTGGCTTAAAACCATTTTTTTGTTGGTGAAAACACTAATGGCCTAAGACTTTTGCACAGTACTGTATAAGATAGTCTATTTTTAAAAGTGTGATTTCTAGACCTAGAGAAGTCACATAAACAAAACTCCATGGACACTTTTATAATGAATAGACATTTTTCTAATTTAGCCAAGCTGTAAAAACCCTTATCCTTAGTTCTGATCCAGTAAATCGTATTCAACTGGAATGTAAATTCATTGGCTGAAAAGAGTGGGAAGCTTAAAAATGAAAAATTCCTCTGTAAATTTAGAGAAACTAGGAATGTTGGGCATTCAGATATTGTAGTGAACAATGAGGGGCCTTGGAATCAGGTCCATCTTTTTTGTCCCCTTGAATCTTGACCATCTTGGTCCCCTTCCACTTTTGTTTGTATGAAAAAGAGCAGCTTGGACATGCTTTTGTGTTCCACAGAAGAAGGAAAACCATACAGATTTGAATAACATGAGGGTGAGTAAATGACGACAGAACTTTAGGAATATAAATGAAGTTTATACATGGTCAGTTTGTTTTATGAAGCTCACCTGTTTTGAGTTTCTTATACATTTTATAAAATGCAGCAGGTAGAATATTCAGTCCAGGTCATGGTACGCTATAATTAATGTTTTATGTGTAGCATTGCTTTTATCTCTCTCTGATGTTTGCTTCCCAAGTGTAAGGATTTAGGAGTGTGTGTGTGTGTGTGTACACTTACACATTACAAATGTAGGAATAGCTATAGGCGAGCTTGTGTTTTTCAAGGTCTCTCATTGGCTGTTAGCCAATATGTTGTGATTTATGTCATGTTTCTTATATGAATGTTACTCTGTGTGCATGCTTATGTGTGTATCCGCATGTTTAGGTTGAGTTGACTGGCAGTAGCGTGTTCGATTACATCCACCCTGCGGATCATGTTGAGATGGCGGAGCGTCTTGGCATTAGGCCACACCTCCGGGCAGAGGCAGGCTGTCAAACGTCCCATGAGAGCGCTTCAAGCTCCGCCTCCACATCCTCACTGGCCGGCACTCCAGAACCAGGTAACACAACTTCAGAGGTCTAGCTTTATTCAACTCTAATTTTTACCTCTATTTTTTTGACACAAAATATTTCAGATACACAAAAATTATACTGTAACTTTCAGAACTCAAAATCTATGATGAAACTATGCTGCCGGAATAACTTTGTGTCATCAATAAGATACATGCATTAAAACGACCACCCACATACACTATTTGGTGTTGGCACACCAATACCCTTCAGATCTTGTGCTGATCCAGGGCAGAACACCAGCCGCTCTGCAGGAAAGTGCAGAGAGGGTCAAGAGGGTTTTTGCATAGAAGGCTTGAAGCAGAGCAGCAAAAAACCTTTGTTTCATTCTAAGGGTCAGAGAGAGGGTGGAAAATGATCATGAAAAACTAAAATATGACTGCTAATGGTGCAAAAAAAAGAATGTAAGTGGACCACAGGTAAAAATAAAATGATACTGAAAATGTCCTTTATTCCTCCACATTGCTTGTTCTGAGCTGTCCCAACTCGAACTAATGAGAAAATTTAACACTTTTACATTTTGGCAAATTTTTGTGAATTTGGGTCATACGCAAAAGTAACATTTTTAGACAAAAAAGCATAAAGGTCCACCCCTAAACTTTGTACAAAAAAAAAAAAAAACCTCCTTACAAATGAGATCATAAAAATTCACATGAATTCACCAAAACACAAAATAGTTACGATTTTCCATAACAGCGTTGACTGTCTAGCTCAGGGGTATCCCATACCTGTTCCTGGAGGGCCACTGTCCTGCAGAGTTTCACTCCAACTCTAATTAAACACACCTGAATCAGTTAATCAAAGTCTTTAGACTCACTAGAATCTTCTAAGCAAGTGTGTTGGAGCTAGATATGCAGGATATTGGCCCTCCAGGAGGAGGATTGTACACGTCTGGTCTAGCTGTTAATTTCTGTTTTCATATATCCGTGGATAGTGAAATATTGTTCAAAGGGTGGATATCTTTGTGATGTGCGTGTTTTCTCCTGTAGCATCATCTAGTCCCTGTTCTCCAGTCAGTGAGTTATCAGAACGTGGCTTTGTCATCAGGATGAAATCTACCCTCACCAAGCGTGGCCTCCACATTAAATCCTCGGGCTATAAAGTGAGTCCTTCATCTGAGACATACTGTCTCGTGTGTTAAATTGTGGCACAAATGTTAAGGATTTTTTTTTCTGTAGTCTTAAGGCATGTGTACACAAAGACAAATGTTCAGTGTGAAAATTCTGTATGATAAACATTGGAACTTGAATAAATGTCTGTTATTGTCTGTCAAACTTTTTTCTTGCAATTGAGTTTACATCTCGCAAATCTGACTTTTTCTCAGAAATGCGTTTGACAACATTTTCAATTCTGTGTAATTAAGTCAATTCTGAGTCACTTGCAGAACTGACATTTTCCCTCAGAACGGCATGATATAAATGCGCAATTCTGACTTGTTTTCTCAGAATTGTGAGATATAAAATCGCAGGTGCAAGTTATAAAGTCCAATTCTGCGGTGGGGAAAAAAGACTGATATTTTCTCAGAATTGTGAGTTTATATCTTAAAATTCTTAACTCGCAATTGCATGTTATAAAGTCAGAATTGCAAGATATAAACTCGCAGTTCTGAGAAAAAAGTCTGAATTGTGAGTTTATATCTCACAATTCTTACGTTATTATTGTGTGATATAAACTCACAATTCTGAGAAAAAAGTGAAAATTTCAAGATGTAAACTCGCAATTGCGAGAAAAAAGTCATAATTGTGAGGAAGAAAAATCATAATTACCTTTTATTTTTTATTCAGTTGCAGAAACAGACTTGCATAGTTAATGCATCTGCTCAGACCAGCACAAAGAGTCGCATGCCATCAGTCAGATTTTTAATTTTTTTTTACGAAGAGGTGTTCTCAAGTCTTTTACATTGAATTGTGAATAATACTAGCCAACCATTATGATGGCTTTTGGTCACATGACCAGTGCCATCTGTGTGTGTTTTTTTTTTTAAATAATGCAATTCTGACCCAGTGCGACTTATTTTGCATCAGTGTATAAGTCGCATTTTATTATTACAATTAGAAATAATGTAAAATACAGGTATAAATAACGTGCATAAATAAAATGGTAAGTAGGGGGCTCATGGAACGTGGTTGGGAACCGCTGGACTAGCATATTAGCATTTACTCATTTTTTATGATTGAATGATTTCATAAACTGAACTGCTCATTTGATTTCTTATCAGGTGATTCATGTGACAGGTCGGATTCGGTGTCGGCCAGCTCTGGTGCCAGGCTCCTCCCGCCCCTTGCATCGACCAATGGGATTGGTCGCTCTGGCTCACACGCTTCCGCCCTCCACGCTCAATGAGGTGCGCATGGAAAGTCACATGTTTGTCTTCAGAGTCAACATGGACCTGCAGGTCACCTACTGTGAGAACAGGTAACCTCCCAGCATGCCTTTCAGTCTCAGTTACGGAATATTCTGCTACCTTTGCCATAGTGCTTGCCCATAATTGGTGTAAATGATAATGTGTGCCAAATATGTGTTGTCGCATCAACACTACGTCTCAAGCCTGTGGAATAGAATTACAATACATGGCTGAAAGTATGTTTGAAAAATTTGATTAAAATGTACATGCACTCCAAAAAAAACCTCATTTGGTGTCAATAAAGCAAACTGGCCAAATCAAATGCCAGTGTCACTCTTACATGTGGATTTTGTAGGATTTCGGAGTATATGAACCTGAGCCCAGCTGAGGTGGTTGGACGTACCTGCTACCATTTCATCCATGCAGAAGACCTGGACACCATCAGGCAGAGCCATGCAGACTGTAAGCCTGTCAGGATTTGTGATCTACTTGCAACCCCATCTCTAAAAAAGCTTATTACACATCACACATCTCTCTCAAGGTTGTACATTACATAAAAGAAATCATACATATTAATGTATTTTTATTTATTTATTAGTATGCATTTCATGTCAGTCACATTATTGGGTTTTATTTTGTCATAATGACCAACAGCAGGCTATTAGCTTTTACCTAGATTGTAGGATGATAAGGAAATATGAAGCGCTTAAGTGAGGGTGGCAGGAAAAAAGGTGGATAATAAAAGGAATAGAACGGGAAAATAACTTTTTTTAGTTCATCATTAAGGAGCAGCTGTATCTGTTGTCAGTTTAAAGGGGTCATATGATGCTTTTTTAAAGATCATTATTTTGTGTATTTGGTGTAACAGAATATGTTGACATGCTTTAATGTTCAAAAAACACATTATTTTTCAAATACTGTACATTATTGTAGGTCCTCTATGCCCCGCCTCTCTCAAACGCTTCGTTTTCTACAAAGCCCCCTCCTT